AGAAAGAAAGAAAGAAAGAAAGAAAGAAAGACTACAACAGTTTTTTTATTTACTATTTCATAATGTCAGAAGATTGAGATAAAAACAATGTTTTATGGCATGTTTGTGATTTATTTATACAGAATTAGACAATTTAAAGAACATCATCTAAAAGTGGTGATTTCATATTTTTGACAGTGGTTGTACTCTGAGTGCTACACATTGCACAACTTCTTTACCTGTTYGGGTCAGCCCTGGCTGTCTCTTAACAAAAGATCTTCTGAATGACTTGACAGATTTTACTAAATCTCTCAGAAAGCATGACTTTTCAGCAAACATACAGTAGATGTGTGTACTGTATATCTGCCACTGATTCCCCTTTGAAGTTAACCCAATTCAAGATGGCTGGCACAGCTCATTGACGTTTATCAACACGATAAGGGCTCTGATTGGTAATTTTACAGATATTAAGTTAAACTCTAAGTTCTAAAACATCACTTAAGCATCAGCATAAGATTAAATTAGTTTAAAACTGGTAAGAAAGGCAGTAGGTGATGTGTATTCTCCTAAGAAATGTTAGACCTTATGATTCATTGTCATTTCCCTTTTGGTGTGTTTATTATCCATTATCTATGCAAAGTATGTTTTGATCCATTATTTGTATCTAAAGCAGATCAAATAAATTCCTAATAGCTCAATTAAAACAACTCCAAATGCTCTGTGCACAAGTTTACTATAGTTTGTAGACAGCAGTATGAGTGCCTCACTATATCTTATCACTTCAATATTGTTAGCATGAATACAGAGCATGACTATTCAGCAAACTTCAAAGACTTCAAGGCTTTCAGGCAATGTGGCTTTTAGACACAGAAATATCAATTTTTACGATGACTTGTGATATCTATGAATAGTAGCAAACCCACAAGCATAGCACTTACTAAGTTGTAGCCTCATGTATAATAGATGATGAAATGCGTTGCATCACMTCAGCCACCTTTGCTCGCCTGTACTGCTGTATGGCAATCACAGTTTTGTAACTCTGTTGTTCTGGGAATCCCACTTACCTTCTCTGCCTTTTTGTCTGTTACTCACAAAGCAAAGTCGTGTTGCAGCCCACCCTTAAAAAGAAAAAGAATCACCCCCACAAAGTAGTTCCTCCTAATAAATAATGCAAATGACTTGGCTTGCTGTGTGTTGTTTTGTTTTGTTTTTCAACTTTTCTAACAATTTTAAATGTAATTTAAAATGCTTTTTGGCAATTATTTCTCAGTTTTTTACTTACAAMTATTGGGTTGGACAGGTCACCACTTGGTTTTGTCGATTACATTAAATTATTAAATTAACTTAAATTTATGTGATCTAAACCTTGTTTTGAGTTATATGAAATCTAAAGTAATGCTGTTTTTGAATTAGTATCTCAGTATAAATACTTAGATTTTATTATTGATGAATCTTTGACTTTTGTTCCCACATTCAACAATTGGTAAAAAAAAAAAAAAGCTGAAGATAACGTTGAGTTTTTATTTTAGAATTACAGTTTGTCTTTTGAGGCTAGAAAATGTGTTGTTGCTGCCACATTTTTACCCATCTTAGATWATGGAGATGTGCTTTATATAAAGGCATCTTCTCACTGGTTGCATTTGRTGGACTCTGTGTGTCATAGAGCRTTGCAATTTATCACTGCTCTTAGAGCCCTTACCCACCACTGTCATCTGTTTACCAGCGTTGGATGGACGGCCTTATCCACCCACAGATTTATTCATTGACATAATCTAGTTTATAAAGCAATCTTGGGTTTACTTCCCACGTGCCCCCTGCCCTATATCATTAAAAAAACTCAGGAGGTCATTTTCTGCGCTCAGATGAGTTCATTTTATTAACAGTACCTAAGGTTTGCACTGATTACGGCAAAAGTTCTTCCACTTCGCTGCTCCCTCAGACTGGAATCTACTTTAGAAAGAATTGAAGTTGAAGGAGTTGGTCTCTTAATGGGCCTTAAGCAAGAATATGTTCGTATTCTTATCCTAAATTTCTCTTACTTTTGTTTGTACGAAGGATTCAAACGAACATGCCACATCAGATTCAACAAACTCTTCTATCTTCAGGAAAAGTGTGTAAATGAGCAGCATAAACTGATGAATGCGTATCCAGCTGCTCGTGCACGAGGAGAGTTGATTAGCATAATCTACCACCTCAAAAACACCATATAAGGCTATGTTTCCTGCCCCGCATACCAGGAAGTGCTCATTCATTAAAATGACAGCGAAAAGGAAAAAGAACATTGGAGATTGAAGTCCTGAGATCCAGGAAAATAAAAGTCATTTTTAGCAGCGTCAGCTGTGGAATGAAAGAAGCGGCTTAAAGCAGAGGAATGAAATGACGACTGCTGTTAATGTCATGTCTCCCGTGGGTCATATACAGTCACAGAAATAAAAATCTAAGATATCCATCTCTCTCTCCTGCTCCTGGCTTCATTTGGACAAGTTTTTGATTCAAGTGTAAACAACTGTGGTAAATAATTTTCTTTTATTCAGAAGACCAATGAGCCTGTTGCGCACCGTCACCCCTACCCATCCACCCACCCCTGTCCCGTCTCCCCAGCCATCGCAAGTGTCAGATGGGGTTCTGAAAAAAAGCATTTTAATTAAAATTGCATAGCTGATGTGCTGAATAAATCTCAACAAAAGAAAAATAACGTAATCTATGTTTGAATAAAGCTTGTTATATACCGAGACAAATTAAACTTCAATTAATACATAATTTAAGTTGGTTTATCGTTTGAGATCTTCATATTAAAATTGTAGTGTTATACAACAGCATTAATAGCCAATTTAATTTAATTTAACCAATTATGTCATTATTAATACATTTAAAATCATATTTCCAATACAAACAGAATAGGCTATTGTCATCATAATTATGGAGTGTGATTTATTTTCAACTCAAAATATCTTCAAACTAACAAAATATAAAGTTATTAGGGAGGAAAACCCGTCTGGATAACAGCAGACTGACTGCTCGTAAAATATACGACAGGTCTGGACCACTCGTYAATTTTGTTCGTATCTGAAAAAAATCTTAGAATACGAAAACATTGGTGAATGCCACAAATTCTCCTAAATCACTCGTACGCACAACTTAAGAACAAATCTGTGCGTACGAACGGTTCTTGCATGAGGCCCAWTGTTTTTAGGGCCAATCTTAAACAGTTTTTACATGAGACCTTTGTAAATGTTTTAACTGGTTTTGTACTCTTATTTTAGCCATATCATACCTTCTATGGGTGTTTCTTGTTTTTCTTTTATTTTTCATGATGRATTTGATTGTAGTTTAATATCTGTAGTTTTGAATTTGGTAATGTTTGTGTGCTGCTGCCGTTCTTGGCCAGGTCTCTCTTGGGAAAAGAGATTTTTAATCTCAATGAGACCTACCTGGTTAAATAAAGGTTTAAATATTTTTTTAAAAAAGTCAATGGATTTATCATATCTCTCTGTTGGCAGTGATCAGTGCTGCAGGCAGCTGCAGCAGAGTCTCATTAGGGTGGAAATAGCTRAGCCCCATGAGCACGTTTTGCTTATTTTAGCTCACTGAGATGGCCATTTTTAACACTAGACCTCTGATCTATGCAGAAAAAGCAGGCAGTAAGACATGCTGTGTCCAACAGTAAAGACTTTCTTTTGAAAAATGGTAATGTCAATTTTTAATATAAAGCYCATTTAAAAACATAAATGCTGATCAAAGTGGTTCGAAAGGTCGAGAACAGAGAACTATCAGTAAATAAAATTAAACATCACACATAAACATCAGCAAGTGAAATGAAATAGGCTAAAAATAAACTAAAGCAAGAAAACAAACTCAAACTGAACACTCTACTCTTAGAACACCCACAGGTGGATCCAATTTAACTAATTATGGGATAATAAATGTCAAAGTTGTGGTTTTAMAGCCAAGGATGAAAAAATATGCTCACACCACTTTTTCAGTTTTAAAGTGTCTAGAATTATTTTACAACTTTGTTTTTTCCTCCTCTTTGTTAATTTTTAGAGTAGAATTATTACTTCAAAACAAATTAGAAATCAAATATAGAAGGCAGATCGAAGCAAAGAAGCWATGAAAGTATACAGGACAGTGACCTCAAYGACCAGGATTGGAAACCATTAGCATTGCACTAGAGAGAAGAAAAAAAATGCAACAACTTTGTGCACATAAAACAACCAAGCCAAAAKTGAAATGCAAATCGTAAAGATTTTGTAATTTACAATTTTGGATAGCAATGTCTGTCTACCAGGTAATCACAGTGGTGGGCTGTGCATTTTACACCTAGGCCCTCAGTCGGGGTGGGAGTGAGGGGTAATGGACCATGGAGAGATAGCATCTCTACAATAACATTGCTGTATATACTGTATGTGTGTGTGTGTGTGTGTGTGTGTGT